TCCGTTTGTATAGTAGGAAAACGAAGGGGCAACAGGGAAGAGGATGAAAGATCAAGATGCTTGAATGTGGAAAAGAAAGAAAGAAAGAAAGAGAAAGAAAGATAGTGTTTATGTGTAACTATGTGTATATGGGGTGTACATGTGTGTTTGTTTGTTTGAGAAGGATGAGGAGAGTAGCATTATAAGCGACCAAGGCACGAGGAACCAACAACGGTCTCTCCGCGTTGGGATACTGAAAGGTGAGGGGTTTGGGGGATAAGAGAAGAGGCAAGAGGTGACGACAGCGAAAACTAGTTTATTTGGGACGCGGCTATAAATTAGGATCAGATCGCCACGAGATAAGGGAGTACCGGCTAACACCCGGCTCCCTCCGAAAGGATGCTTCTTTCTTTCTTTCTTTCTTTCTTTCTTTCTTGCTTACTTTTTATCTTTTTCTCTTTCTTTCTTTCTTTCTTTCTTTCTTACTCTCTTGACTTTTGCCATCCTACGAAAGCAACAACGTCCATCCCAATCCACGACGAGTTTTGCGTTGCAGAAGCCGACTCTTAGGAAAAGATTCAAGCGAATCTTCGTCGTCACCTCGTTTCGCTCGAGATCTCTAATGTGAAAGGTGAGACAAGGCCGATCTTTGTCCACTTTCATCCTGTTAACGTCTACCAACTGATCTATGTTATTGTTGGAATCATTTTTTCCTTCTGGTAGAACTGAACGGGGTGTGGTGGTATACTTAAGTTGAGTTGATTTGTTTTTTCTTTGAGATTTATTTTGACATTTTTCTTTTTTTCAAATTGGTAAGGAGGAATTTTGGTTCGTTAATTAATATGATTGGGTATATTCGAAATATTTATTGTTTTTATTTACGTTGATATATAATTCTCAATTGAAAGAATAATTATTTTGGTAATTTTTATTTGATGGAATCGTAATGTTTCTACGGTTTATACTAGAAGGTTTATTAATGTGTTATGTTTTTTTTTGGAGCTTCTAATTTTGGTAATCTTTTATGAAATTTATTAGATATTTATTTATAGCTGAAATTTATTTGGATGATTTAATATTACGTTGATTTGATATTCAAGTAAAAGATTTTGAGGTTATATTAAATACAGAAAATAATTGAGGTAATGTTTTTATTTGATAGAATCAAAATATTTTTATCGTTTATATATTTTGCAAAGTTATTTAATGTTTTCCGTGTTTTATTTTATCAATTTTTGTAAAATATATAAAATTAATTAATAAATATAGTCAAATACTCTTCAATTATTTATCTTTACATGTTTGTATTACTAAAGTGATCATTTTGAGGTTATGTAATATTATACATACGAAAAAATGTGAAAAATGTTTATTTAAAATTCAAATAATAAAATTTAATTAAATTATTTTCAATTGACTCAATGAAAAATCAAATTAATTCTCTTTGCTAACCAATATTTCGATCAAATAAATCAACTTACTCTGATTTCTTCTTTAATTTCATGTTTTTTTTTATGCATTTCTAAAGATTCCGTTTTAATTTCTAGAAGTATCTCTCTCTTTTTCGTGGATTTCTTATTCTGGATTTTGGAATGCATCAAAAAGTAATTTATTTTCTAACTCATAGTCAATTCGAATTGAACTGAATCAGATAACCCCTTTCGGAACGATGTAGAAGACTTGACTTTATGGGGACTTCTCGAGAGGTTTGGGAAAAGACGAACGGCTAGAGTAAACCCTGGAGATGAGAATATCGTCCTATCGTTTGTAAGGAAACGAGGGAACAATTCTTACGATTCTCTTTTCCACTTCGCAATTTTTCTTTGAATTATCTTAGATTCCACTTGATTTACATCCCATGCACTTATATTTTCTTTGTTTCCATTTTCTATTATTATAATTACATTTCAAATGGCAGATGAATTATTCAATTGTTATAAACATATTGATTTCAATACATTGACTTATTGGATTTTTCTATAAATATTATTTGTATTTTTGAAAAATTAAAATTTTCATACAATGTTGGTTGGTTAAACATGAAATACTGAAACTTCTGACTTCAATAAACATTTTATTCTTTGTAATACGGAAAAAATAAAATAAAATTCAATGTTATTATTTTTATATTGAGAATAAAATTTTTATTTCATTAGTTTATATTGTTATAAAAATAATATAACAGTAATTTTTAGGAAATACAAATTATAAATGGTTGTAAAAAAATGTTTATCGAAATTTTTAAACAGAACACAATCGAATACTAAAATATCCTGATATTTTATATTCCGTTAATTAATTAATTAATGATTTTAAAACAAAGATTTTAAGAGAAAGCAATTAAAAATAAATTATACTCACAGTTAAAAAATTATTTTACGACTCGATACATACCAATTATTTTATCTAGTTTTCTTCTGGGCTAATAACCTTATAAGCAGTTGATGCAACACTAAATAATTAAATAAGAAAAAAAAAATATTATTTAAACTATCACACGTGACATTAAAATAAAGAAAAAAAAAAGAAAAGAAAAAAATAACGAATATACGTAATAATAATAATTTATAACGAAACAACCGGTAAACACGTAAAATTCTCGATAAAAAATTCCTAAACAAAATCTATTAACGAAGAGATAAAAGCGAAAAATAAAAAAAAGTTGTCACTTATGAATCATATAAATTATAATAAAACTAAATGAAATAATAATTTCCAATAATATCTGTAAATAATATATACGAAAATATATTTTCAAATAAACACGTAACATGAATTATTTATCAATTCAATTGTTCATTCAATTAAGAAAAGTGAATGAAATAAAAGTAATCCGATACAAAATATATTCTTTAACGGCTAACTTCATATTAACGAACTCCCTTTAACGGCTAACTTCATGCTTCCGTTGCAAGATGCGCGCGCAACAAAAATTTCACTTTCGATGCGCGTTAAGAGGTATAAACTTCAAAAAATATTGGAATAACGGAACGTCAAGAAAGAGAAGAAATTCGGAATAAGACGGGAACCACAAAAAAGAAAGAAAGAACAAAACCAAAAGAAATAGAAAAAGAAAGAGAGAGAAAGGAAGAACTGTACGTTTTCAAATCCGATCGTCTTTCGTCGCATCGAAAGGTATCTCCTTGGTGAGAGGATAGAAGAGGAAGAAAAGAAGAAGAAGAAGAAGAAGAAGAAGAGTGGAAAGGTGAGGTGAAGAGAGTGTTGGACCAGCCAGCCGCTGAAGTCGTTCGTTCGGTTACTAACGCGACAGGTTGAGGTGTGTCCGAGTATAGTGTTCCCAAGCGTTACACGCACGCAAGGACCTACGCGTGTATCATGCGTGTGTAAGAGAAGGACGAAGCTAGTCCAGGACGGTGATTCCATTCACTGATTGAAATCTCCGTTCATTTGTCACTGTCAAGAAGGTGGCGAGAGATTCTTTCTCTCTCTCTCTCTTTTTCTCAACCTTTCTTCCTTCCTTTCTTTCTTTATTTCTTTTTACCTTTTTCTTTCTTTTTCTATTTCTTTTTATTTTTTTCTCGCCCTCCATCGACTGCCCACGCGCTACTCAATACCCCACACAACATTGGCTATTATTATTTCAACGGGAGAATCTCAGGCTAACGACCAATCGACGGCTCACACACTGGGATATTAATTCTTTATCGATCGTCGTCATCGTCAACTGTTGTTGTGTTATGTCCTTAGTATGATTTTTTTCGGAATCCTACCAGAGGTAAAACTGACATGACCAAATGATAATATGAATCGGGACTGTTGTCAGAATTTTTTTAGGTAAACAGAATCTCTAGTTTTCATTTTGATGTCTCTTTTTTTTTATGATCAAACAAATTTTCTTTTCCTTTTTGTTAGTTAACTCTTTGAGTCCAACGAATGATATCCGTTTTTTTAATTATTTTTGTTGTTTTCTGTTCACATTTATATAAAATATGAATTTCTATTGAATGAAATTGAATGAGCCCTGTGCGATTAATTTTGAAATTATTCATTAAATGAAAAATAATAAATATGTTGGTCAATGTGATGCTAATAATAAATGATTATTTATTCCTTATCGATGGTTAGCACAGTTGTGTTCAAGTATGATTTTAATGTTACGAAAGTAGAACGAAAAATCTTAAAACAACATAACGAAAGAGTTTCATGATGGGTTTTAAAATAAACAGAATTCAAGTATTCGTGTTTAATATCTGATGATGTTCATCCCTTTTTTTTTTCTCAACCTTGTATAATCCAATTATTTTTAAAAGTAAAGAAATATTGCAGACAAACGTCAGTTATTCTCTTATTCTTGACTTAGAATAAAAGTTTGTCTGAAAATAACGATGAAACCTTATATCGATTAAATAAGAAAAATAAATCTTGGTCAATGGTGCTAACAATAAATAAATGTTTATTATTTATTGATTGTGAACAGTTACAATTATTTTTGTTGTTCATTCTTTTTTTAAGGTAAATATTTAACGAAACAAAGTAGAGATCTCGAAAAGATCATAAAACTTGTTGTTAAATTAAACGGACAATAAATTCTTATTCAAAGAATTGTTTTTTCTTCTAAAATCTGATGACGTTCACAATAAAAATTTGCGATAGGATATTACGAGAATCGGTTACATATTACAATATATACAATTTCATTGAACCTACATTTAATTATTATTTAGACTTAACAAAAATATTAAAAACTTCACGCACGAATTATCGATTAATCTTATATTAACAAATTAAAATATAATTAAATCTAATATGCACGTATTTCTCTTATTTCTAACTTTGAAATAACATAATATTATAAAAGCTTAACATTGCACAGTTAATTCTACTAACGAGGATTAATCGCTTGCGATTAAATGATTACGTGGAATGTAGGAGAAAACGTATCGATCATTATCATAAACCGTTAATAAATGTTCACAACGATTAATATTCGAAATTCGTTAAATGATTGTTCATATATAACCCTACGACCTATCGATTGTACATTTCCGTTGATAACTCACCTTGAGAGATAGCGAAGATTTTCCTGAGTCACTAGGATGTTTCTTAAACCGGCGACACGAACCCACTACCCATAGATTGTGATCTGAAACATCATCAAAATAAATGTAAACTTATTTTAAAGAACAATCATAATAGAAAAATAGTTGATTAGAAAAATATAAGACTCCTTACCCTTTGTAGAAGGGTTTAAACGCTGTAGTAGCTTCTGTTGGTGGTAAACTGGCAGTGGTTTGGTGTTGATGAAGAATTGAATTTTGTCCCGCCGGTGAGAAATCCTTGTGCGGTGAAGTTTGAAGTCTCGATGCAAAGGAGGAAGCACCACCAGCAGGTCCAGACGTAGCAGATAAATAACCCCCAGCACCAGGATGAGTGGTTGCGTAATGATTAGGATTCCCGTTGCTCGTCTGATTGGTATTCCCAGTAGGGCAATAGCCTGCTGGTGGTGGTTGGATCACCCCATTCGGAGTAGCCACCTTCATATTGGGTGGTGTCTGAGGTGGGGTATCCGTACCAACTTCTGGAAACCCCGCGGCAGCGGAAGAGGATGCAGATGATGTTGTACCAGACGAGGAATTAGGATTGTAATGAAGTTGGCCACCGGATGAGGTTGAAAGGAAACCACCGTATCGTGCAGCTGCAGTTGAATAAGGTGCCGTCGCTGCCGCCGAAGGACTCATGGAAGCTGAAGAAGGTAATGCGAAAGAGGAACCCAAATTTCCACCTCCAGCACCCCCACCACCGCCATTGGCACCACCACCACCACCACTACCACCACCTGGTCCTAACCAAGGTTGTTGCGAGTGATGATGGTGTACTTGATTTCCAAGGTGATGCTGTTGCTGAGCGTAATGTTGTTGATGATGTAAATGATGATATTGTTGATGATGAGGGTGAGAAGGTGGTGGCGGTGTTTTACAAGCTGCCGTATCCGCCAGCGACCAGATTTTCGGTTTAGTCGCTGGAATTGGTACACCACCTCCACTGCAATCCGTTTTTATACCCTCGTCCTTCATATGTTCATCCGTTCCATAACCTTGATGATGATGATGATGATGTTGCATCGTATGATGAAAAGGAAGCTCTCGTCCTCGCGGATCTTCCTCCAAATCAAGATCATCCTCGTCGTCTAAATCTTTATCGTGTTGAAGGTGTTCCGCTTTGACGTGTCTCATTGGTTCTGTCGAATAAATCAATTAACATCGTTTCAATAAATAAATTAACACAAACAAATATCACTCCCTCCCTCCCAATCATATCTTTAACTTATCTTAAATAATATTTACGGTTTAAAAAATATGATGAGAACAGTTAATGTGATTTAGACACGCGTATAATGCACTGAGTGAGTATCATCGTTAATGGTTTATAATCCCTGGTGTGAAAGTGATACATAAGAGTAGTAAAAGGACGAGTCATCCTGCGGGGCTCGCGTGTTTTGGAAGGGTCTCTTCTCTCCTAACACACCCTTATATAGTAAAGCTGTAAGGGATGCTGTGAAAAAAAAAAAAAAAAAAGAAAAAGAAGAAGTAGGGAGTGAAGCCTTCAAACCACTTTGGGCGCGAGAGATTTCTACTTTCCCTTGAGGCACCGAAGCCGACCCAGAAAAAGACAGACAGAATGTTAGAGAAAGAGTGTGTGTGTGTGTGCGTGTTAGAAAGAGTGAGACAAGGAATCTCTCTTTTCTCCTTCTTCGATCCCTCTCTGAACTCTCTTGGGGCACTCTAGGATCGTTCCTGCTGTCTGTGCCAGCTAACCATCCAGCCATCGAGCCAAGCCAGTCAGTCAGGGGTGAGAATTTCATTAAGAGGTTCGAATGAGTCGGCAGAGGGTTTACTTGATGGGTCGTCAAGCGATAATTCCCAAGCTGGAAAGGGGCTGCCGTTGCTACTGCTGCTGCCACTACGAAATGAGAGACAACGAGAGCAAGAGCAACAGCAACAGCAAGAGAACAAGAGCAAGTGAGAGAGAAAGAAAGAAAGAGAAACGCAATAGAGAAAGTGAGATCAAGCTTAGGGTGCAAGCATCCCCTTTATAAAGAGAACCTTATGGGGCAACTAAATAGATACTAACGTCGAGTCCACAAGTGGCTCTTTAACTTTTGACCCTCTTTTATCAGCCGTTAATCTCATAATCTTCGCGCCAGACCACCGACTGATATCTCGATCGGGTGAATTTCATTCAACTTACTCGAATCGTTTGTATCGTAAACCAAACTATTATGCATACACGTGATACTACGAGTTGTATGTACCCGTATAATACAACTTTAACTATAGAGATTTATTTTTACGTTGGATTTCTCTTTTTAAAAGGGGGCTAGTAGTGGTGGTGGTACGATCGTTAAATGTTTTATTGACGAATAAAATGATTTTAATCCGTGTACGTAAACGTTTATCTAGATTCTTTTATATGTTCATTGATATAATCCGTTGGAAAAAAATAAAGAAAGTGTTAATATCGTTAATAAAATACTTAATTTAATGGTTTTCCATTCTTTTTTTTTTTTTACTGTGTTGAAGAAAAACGTAATGGTTGAATAAATTTAATGATACGTAACGTTGGTTTTATACCAGCAGGGTAAACTTTAAAAAGGCAGACCCCCCCCCCTCTTCCCGTTCGTCAAATATATCCTAGTATAACTCGCGAAACTTTTCAACCCTCTTCTGGTAGGTATTACTACTACTACAGGCACGTGCTTAAAGTGACCACTACTACTTTACCGAGTCCGGTGGTAGTATCACATGGGCGTAGAAATTCATGAGCACAAAGATGGTCTTCTCTTCCCCCTTTTGAATTTCCTACTACTCAAAAGCCACTATAAGCATGAGCGTGTAGGACAACGATCTCGAGTAGTCTGCAAATATTTGCTCGCACGTTTACCGGCTAAGGTTTCTCATTAATTATCGCCATAGCCAGACTATCTTACTTTCTCGGAATTACCTACTCATTATACTCATCGTTTATTCTCATTTATTTTCCTTTTTTCCTTTTTTTTTTATTTTTCTTAATTAATAACGTCCCCCCCCCCCCCCCCATCTCCATTAACTTCATTTATTTTACTTTGGAATATTCTTATCTGTAGGATAGGTAAATGTTATGGTGAATGGGGGGGATCAAATATTTTTTCATTTTTGTGATAATGAGATTAAATGAACATGTGTATTTGTATTAACCCCAGTTTTTGTTAAGCTTGATTATTAGTTGTAGTGGTATGATAAGTATCAATGTGTAAGTGAATTACATTAAATATTAGTTGGATTATTAGTTAGGTTATATGACGTAATGAAAATCTAAAGAGTGTCATAATATAAATGTATAATTCAACAATTAATTAAAAAAACTGTTGAAATTAATTGCATTGCATTAAAAAGCACATGTCATTAGTAAATATAAATCCGATTTATATTGTTAATATATTAGATTATATCCAAAAAATTCCAGTTGAATAATATTATTAATATAAAACAAACTACTTGTTCAAAATTGGCTTTAATTAACAAAAATATTAAATTGAATATCAATTATTGTTTCGCATAATCCAAAATGCGTTTTATTGAATAACATTAAATTGAATAAAAATATATAAATCTACACGAACAATTTCCAACAATTCCCCCCTTACCCCATAAATAAATAAACCTTCCAATCAGTAATACACAAAGTGTCTCAATAAACCCTGATAATTGGGTTGCTTTAAAATTTCGGTCCGATTATGATAAAACCTTGAATACATTAAAAATATAAATAATTCCAAACTATTTTGGGGAAAGGGGTAAACAATCTTAGACCCGATTAATATCCACAAAAAATAAATAACATATAGAAACAAGTTGACCATATTATTCCTATATCAGTAAATCAAAAGGAATGAAGAGATTTTTCCTAAAATCACGTAACTCCTATGGAAGTGTCGTGTTAGGGGGGAATCGTGACGCAGCCGGACGATACCTAGATGATCAGAACAGTAAGGGAGAACGAAAGAGAGAGAGAGAGAGAGAGAGAGAAATAGATAGATAGAGATAGATAGATAGATAGAGAGAAGGACAGCAGGAGAGCCGATATTGGCCAATGTGCGGTGGGGTAATGGTGGCCATAGGAGGGTCCGTACCATTCGTCTCGCCGCGGGCGCCGATACATCACCGTACCTCGAACCACTGCTGTCGTCCCATGTATATCCCCACACTTATAAACACATGCACATACTATACACATAATACATATATTCCTGAGTACATAGAAGTTCATATATATATATATATATATATACTATATAACATATAGATACTGAGAGCTTGTGGCACGTAGCATACATGCTCCTATGGATGGCTACTCAGCCTGGCCGCACCCTCACCAACACAACAAAACTTCACCGATAGAGTAGACTTGACTAGTAGCTGCATGAGTGAGTGAATGAGTGAGTGAGTGAGTGAATGCGTGTTAGTTAGTGCGCGCGCGCAAAGCCCTGTTCGTAGCTACGACGACACCCGGATAGGAGTACGTTACCGTACGGCCCGTACGTTTCCACTATGGTGTAGAGGGGTATGAGGAGTGGAATGGTGAAATGGTTGGTAGGGGAATACTGAGTAAGAGAGGGGTGAGGATGGAGGACCAAACCGAAGGCCATTAATCTCTTTGCGCGGCAACCCGCAACCCGTCACTGTGTTTACCCACATGTGAACTATTATGTCCGCCCCCACGATATAGTATGCCTCCTGTCCTGTTCACTCTTACATTGGACTCCCGCGAATCGTCTAACCCATAAGCTTCCTTCTTTCCTGCGGCACGCACGAGAATGAGAAAGAATTTTCTTTCTAACAGAACTACTGGGGGATGAGATTTATAGGGAAACAGATAAAAGTGAAAGAGAATGAGGTGGTGGCTGTGGTGGTGGGGCTGATGGTGGTGGAGGGTTCAAGGGATCTATGGAATAGATCGTACGTGTTAGAAATTAGAGATAGAAAAGGAATAATAAAAGTGGTATGGTATTTGTTTGATTTCGTGTGACTTAGGATTAGTCCAATTAAATAAAACAATAACTTATTGTCCAAGTTGTCCCAACTAACCCCAGCTATGTATAGAATTTAATCAGTTGTTTCTCTTATCCAAAAATAAAATTCTTAATAAGAAGGTATCAAAGGGAATTTGGACATCAAAAAAAGAAATAGAACTTAATTTTACTAAGTTGAACGTTTCGTCCCTTTATTGGGACTTCTTCAGCAACTTAATCTTTACAGTTCAGCGTCTTTTTTCTTTAAGTAGACATACATTTTTATTTTTATTTTAATATTCGAAACACAAAACATCTACACTTCGTTATGTATTAATCCGAATGTTTTAAAGTTTTTATAACAATAGTTCATACTAATGAACATTATATTATAAATTTAAATTTATATTAAATAATACTCAATAGTTTTGTTACTTATTCTGCGATATATATCTTCAAACAAATACGAAAGTTCTACGCAAGTAGTCAAATAAGCGTCACCCCAATACGAGTGACTTTACTGTGAACCCGAATACGGGTGACGTGACAGTAAACGTGTTAAAAGAAATCGGACAATTTATTCCTACGTATGGTATTTTCCTTTCTTATACAATTATCTAGACATTGTAATTAGCGGGACGATTAGGATCACGAGTTTTGAACGTGTAATACTTGAAACTTAGTTTACAGAGCAACTACATTTCGGTTCTTTGGTGATGGGAGGGTTTTATAAAAACGTTTGATTTTATTGAGAATAGTTGAATTGAATACAAGACGTTCCAAGCATACTACTGGATATATCTGGGATTTAAGATTGTTCTACCATCTATGGATGAATCCCGTTTACTGGTTTAAACCTATTGCTCTAAGCTACTTCTTCAATCTCGTACTCGATCTACTTGAAAGAGAACCGTTTCTCGATTCAGTCGGTCTTTAACCATATAGGGTGAGGTCGTACGAGAATTCGTTCATTGTGGAACGGAATGGATGCTTGCGCAATATCTGAAACGGAGACCGATGGGTACTCGATATCAGGGAAACTAGTCACGCGAGGTAAACACGCTACCAACATTCCGGCTCGAAGGAGATCGCGAATTCTCTTTCTGTTTCTGTTTCTTTATTTCTTTCTTTCTTGTCTTCAACAAATGCTAATTCAAAATGATATAACGGTTGTGGTTTAGAGTCGCACGCGAAACGTCGGATCGAATGATAGTTCCTTTTCGAAGGATACGTATGTACACTGTTACGAGTTTGTTATAAAATTAACTTTCCTATGTTGATTATTGGACTTGTATCCTTTGTATTTGATTTACTAAAGATTCTGGTCAAATTGGAAATTTAAGGCGTATAAAACTAATTGGATGTAATATATTAAAAGACCAGTAGTTATGTTGTTTGATTTATTCAATGGTCAGATATGTTTTCATGTTAATACCTTACTTGTTGAGTGATTATTTGATTTACATGGGGATAAATGGGATTAGGTTTGAAATTTAAAGATGTAGGAAACAAATGGGAATCAATATATTGCGAATTAGTAGTTTTGTATTATTCAATGGACATATATAATACTTTACTGATTGATTCTTTGATTTACATTGGACAGGTTATGTTTTATATTGGAAAACTTGGATACAAATTGGATTTTATTTGTGGAAAACAAGATGTTTTATTGTCAGGTATTTATCCGTTGTAAATAATAGTCATGTTGGAATATACGAACAATTGTTGAAAGTGTTTATTATTGAAATTTTTCTATGCTGAATAACAACAATACAAATTCTACAAATTCTTGAAATTTTCACGCGATGCGTTAAGAATCTGGAATCCTTAATTTTGTTGTAATCAATCACTCTTAAATGTTCATAATTAATTAATTATAGTCTTCATTAAATAGGATCTTGTAAAATTGATATTTTTTGGTATTATTTTATGTCAACATGGAATACTATTGTAACTTCTAAATCCCTGGTCAATCCTGCTGATACAATCAGTCTTTCTTTTTAAACGATTCATTTGATCAATCCGATTCACTATGTAAATTGACCCGACTTCAATAACGATTAATGGATTCATCCAATTAAGCTTGACTCGTTACACAGATTAAATCCAATTTCAATATTCCAAATATAACTGGAAATTGTTCAATCATCGATATATCAATTTAGGGTTAACAAGCTTGATTTACTGTGAATGAGAATATATTTCCAATTGTAAAATTATTGGGATATGTAAAAAAGTAGACTTGAGAATCTAAAATCTGAAATTTTGACTCTCTAATTTATTAAGTTTAATGAGATCTACTTATGTTTTTTTTGTATTGTTGCAAAATCATAATTTTAGCCATCTTAGGTCTATTCTAATTTTAATACTTTTTCTTTAAATAATTAATTTGATTATTCTAAATCCCCATGCAAATTTTTATTTAAATTCAATAACGATTACTGAATTTATCAAATTAAATCTGACACATTAAACTGATTAGCTCCTACTTTAATATAAACAAGATTTCCAGTTAATTTTAAACAATTATTATTCTTTTATTTATACATAAATCAAAATGATTTGTAAATGTTCCAAAAATGAATAATCGGTCCTCCACAATTTCAATTTTATCCCCAATACCTTAAAAACCAATTGAACAAACATTTTAGGTTACTATCCGATCTTATATGATTTCAAATAATCCAATCATCAATATTTCAATTAACCATTAACATTTTTAATTACCAATCACAAATAATTATATTACAATAATTGCACGTTACATACATTAAAAAAAACCGATTAAAGTTCCAAGATTTGACTTTGATTTTATAATTCCAATTCGTACTTACATAACCTCAACATAAATCTCGATAAAATGTATTCTTTTGAAAATTCACTATAGCATAATATTGTATTATCATTTTAACAATATAAAATATTAAAAAAAAATCTTACCGTTATCATCAAGACCTCTCCTCGCATCATCGCCAACTCTGTCCCCTCGATTATCATTCGCAAGTTCGTCCTTATCCTTGTTATCCTCCGAATCCGTGAGCACAGCATCGTCATCGTCATCTGTTTTATTTTTCGGTTCCCATGTCATTTTATTTTCTTTCTTCAAACGTCTTCGTGCGTTAGCGAACCACGTTGATACTTGAGTCAACGTCATCTTCGTTATTATCGCTAACATGATTTTTTCTCCTTTCGTTGGGTAAGGATTTTTCTTGTGCTCGTTCAACCATGCTTTCAAGGTCGCCGTTGATTCCCTCGTCGCATTTTTTCGTCGCGCGGCTAAATCGTAGCCTGCTCCGTATCTGAAAATAAACGGTTCCCTTTTATCATCAAAAATAAAAGGTCCAAAATTATGATTATTGATTAGACTTTTAATCCATTAAGTGTGGAATTCGTTTAACAATTGCAATCGTTGAAGATGAAATGATTTTATTGGTAATATAAACTATTTTGATAAGAATTAAAGAAAAAACCATTGACGAGCGTATATATGCGTTTGTAGTCTCCACGGATTGTTTTTGTTAGACGCATATAAGCGCCCGTTGCGTTCGAAAGGTTAATAACATTTATTTATAAGTATATATAATAAATTTTCGGGTTTTTGTGTGCTTTTTCAAGATTTGATGAAGTTGTTTAATAAGTCTGCTGTTCATTTGTTTAGAGAATCATGCACTCTGGGTTTCCGAAATATTACAAAATTTATTTAATGTAGTAATAGACGAAATTTAGCTAAAGATTTGCAGAAACCTCGACAAATATATTACGTGTTTCATTTATTTTTAGCCAATTTTCTAATAAAACTTCTAATAACAAAAATAATTGCATAAATAGTAATAATAAAGTAGCAATACACATATGTATATACATATGTACAAAATATTTAATCCATTGGATTGTCCAAATTAAAAAAGAAAAATTATATAAGTTTGACAAAGAGATTTATAAAAAAAATCAATAACAAAAAAACATTAACCATAATAATTTGCTCAAATAAAAAACCAAAATATAAAATCCTAAACTTAGTCATACATTAATGTCCGAATATTTTACATAGTCACTCTATATACGTTTATTCTCTATAAATAAAAAGGAAAAGAAAAAAAAAGAATAAATATCCTTGACTTATATATATACCAAATAATAATAATAAAGTAGCAATAAACATATGTATACATGTACAAATATTGTCCAAATTAAAAAAGAAAAATTATATAAGTTTGACAAAGAGATTTATAMAAAAAATCAATAACAAAAAAACATTAACCATAATAATTTGCTCAAATAAAAAACCAAAATATAAAATCCTAAACTTAGTCATACATTAATGTCCGAATATTTTACATAGTCACTCTATATACGTTTATTCTCTATAAATAAAAAGGAAAAGAAAAAAAAAGAATAAATATCCTTGACGTATATATATATATATCAAATAGAAGTAAGAGAGGGAGGTTGCGGAAAAGTGGCGTAACTTTTGGAGGGGTGCGAATTCCCCGCAGATTTTGACGGTGAAATTCCGTAGGCTTTTCCTAGACGCGTTAGGCTCACCCTTCGAGGTAGGTAGGTAGAGTCGCAGGAGTCTTCTACGCACCCTCTTCCAAAGAGAAACAGTGAGAAAGAAAAAGAGAAACAGAGAGAGAGAGAGAGAAGGACATATTCTATCGGTGAACGAAGTAAGATATGGGGTGGGGGAGTAAGGAGTGAGCCTGGAGGAGGTCGTAGCTGATACTCTGGTAAATATATACGGAGAATAAACCCCCGAACGGTGGCGTGATTCCATCGAGCACCCTCGGTGCTCACGCGCTCAGTTCACTCACTCGCCATAATGGCGATTCGATCGATCTCCTCCTCCTCCACCACTTCCTCCTACTCCTTTTCCCCCCTCACCACCCTCCTATCCCTTCCTCTTACTCTCACCCACTCACTCTGTCTCTCTCTCTCTTTCTCTTTCTCTCTCGTACACATTCTCTGGAGTACACCATCCCAACCCCACGAGGAAACGACGCGAATGTGTTACAGAGTGCTTGTGCTGTATAATACATATACAGATATAGTATCAAAACCATTATATACTAAGGGCTAAAATACCTATCGACGATCTATCCTGCTCGTGAAACGAACCGGCCGTTGCATGTGTTATAGTAGCGGGATATTATAGTGAGAAACACATCGGCCAAAACCCCGAGAACGATATTTCGTCAGGCAGGGACCGTAACGAACCTTGGATCGTTCGATGGACGTCCAAAAAAAAATAAAATAAAGCCCCACGAAATTACGACTCATCGATAAATAAAAAAAAGAAAACAAAAACTATAGATATTGGTATAAGGTTTTTTGTCAGTGATACAGAACCAGTGATCTGATGTCGATATTTTTACGAGTTAATGCAAACTTGTTGGTTGTATTTTGTTTTCTCTCTTTTTTCTTGTTTTTTTTTATTATATATATCTTTTTTACTTTAATGCTTTGAATGATATGGGCGCATATATGCGTTCAATGAAAGCAATTCGCGTTGACTAAGAACGCATATGTGCGCTTATCAATTTTTTCGATCTTTCTTTGGCACGAAATATCTTCTTCTTCATTTTTGTTTTTATTTAATTAAAATAGTTAAACTTTAATAGACAAATTATTTCGTATGCGGTGATTACAATTGTTAGGCGAGTTCCGTCATTGAAAGGGTTAATTTTGAAATACTTAAGCTTTCAGATATCTAATCCTTTTATAACGTGTTAACAAAATTGCAATAAGTTTTCTTCATATAATACAATTGAATTAACTTGTCTAATATACATACAGCATAAATGATACTAGTACACTGTTTTATTAAACTTTACATAGTTTTTATAAAATACGGAATGGCTTAATCGTGTTATAACACGGTTGGGGTTAACATTGTCTAAACAAATATACTTATATTACATTTACATGTGTATTATTGTCAAGAGTATAGATTTTAACGTGAATTCCCATCTTGCGTTTCTTTTGATTTTGTTCAGGTTCCTTCTTATTCTTGTTCTTGTTCTTATCAACATTCGAAATCTTTCTCTCTCCGAAAATAGTTATGCTTTCCAGGAAGACACACTCAAACTGTTTTAGCAAAAGAAGAGAGGACTCTTTTATAAGAGGCACGCTTTGCTTTCTTATATTCAAATGGAGATGTTCCTCTTCCTCTTTATACTACGAACACTACCACCTCTCTCTTCCCTTCTCTTTATGATCCTTCCCTATCGGATCCGATCCAACTGGGTCGACTGTAACAAATGTCCCGATGAGATCTCTCTCCTTTTGTACCGTTCTCCTGTCTTCAAACCCAACACACTTTTACTATGCTTGATCATTGTATCATTCCCTGGTCTTTTGATATTTAACTGGTTTAAAGGTTTCGTAAATTTGTTATCAGTTAAACTAAAGAAATTGATTTATTGTTTGAGGTTAGTTTTAGGATTTATTGTTCATGAATCATGATTACAATTCTAACTATATATATATATTTATTATATATATTGTTTGAGGTTAGTTTTTTAGGATTTCTTGTTCATGAATCATGATTACAATTCTAACTATGTATATTTGATTATTGTATCATTTTTTAGGTATTCTTTTTTTAACATTAAATTAACTGAGTGGTTAGTTATTATATTGATTCTTGTTTAGGACTTTCTGCTTGTTAATTTTATTAGGAACCCAAAACTAAAGATTTATCTAATTTGTAGTTTATTTTGTTATCATTTATGTGATTCACAATGCAATAAAACAATAGAACCAGTTAAGTTAAATTTCTGTATTTGTTTTTTATGATTTTTTGTTTACAAATTAATTCTAAGGGATAACAATTTTATTTGAATAAAAAGTTTTCAAGTAATATCAAAGTAATGAGAATGTTTTTAACATTAGTATTATCAAATTGATCATAGACTTTAAACAAAAAATTGGATTAGTTCAGTAAAATGATATTATTTGATTTTTAGGTTATCTTTTCAATTAATTCCAAAGAAAAACAACTTAATGTTAATTGGAGAATAGGTGTTATTGTCAAACGAATGAAAGAATTTTGTTAATATTTGTGATCGTTCATTTAATAAATGACGTGATCATATATATACTTTAACGAAAGAAGTGAAGTTTAATCCAACGAACTCACTGAAATGTTCTTTTTTCGAATTTCTTTCCAGTAGTTGATCCAAGAATGACGATTTGATTTCGATGGAAGATTGATAGGAATGAAGGTGGAAACTGTGTAGAAGAAATTGTTCGTAAGATTCGAAAGCTTGAGTGTGCGTTTCACCCTCTATTAAACTCCCCAGGACAAGGGAAAGGCGGCCACCGAGAAAGCAGCAGCGTTCTCCTTCCAAAGCCAATAAAATCGGCCTCTTTTTTCTCCCGATTCGTTCAAAGTATTTCCTCCTTTTACTCTTCCTGCTCTCGCTAGGAAACACTGGAAGAAATGGAATCCTAGTAATCGTTTTTTCTCAATCGATTTTTCTAGTCATTCTGTCTAGGAATACGGAAATGGAAGTAACGGAAAAAGAGTACGAACGGAATCACTCGTTTTCACATTTTCTTCTACTTTTTTGAAGAAGTAGAAGAAGTCAAAGAGTTTTGGTTCTTTTTTTTTTTTTTATTCTTAGAAATCGCGTCCACTGTTTGCACGAGGGGGTGGAAGAGATCTTGGAATAACAGAGGGAGGATAAGATAAAGATACAAACGTTGGCTGCTAAGGATACGAAAACCTTTCGCGTAGAATAATAACCCTCATACTTTTGCCTCGATCCTTGTGTTGTTTGAACGACGAAGTACGGGTTTGACATTTTCGAAATTTAACAAACTCGGAATTTTTCCATTCTGTTCTTCCTTAGGTCATCCGTGTGATCGGGTATTTGATTTTGGAGATATTATTTGAAAATATTTATGAACTTTGTTGGAACGGGATTTTCGTTTACGTGGGTTATGAATTTTCATACAATTAATATCAGCTTTGATTGAATAAATTGAGTGTTATTAACGTCATCGATTATCTGATCTACAAATTATTGCAATATAAGTTTTACAAATTAATTCATTGTTGAAATCAATAAGAAACTTTTGACACAAATTATACACAAAACGTAGAAATTCATTGTGCTAACACACATATAAAATAATTAAAATAAAATAAAGTAAAATTAAAAATAATATCTGCATAATGTGCATAATATTAAAGAATTATTAAACATTGCAATATACCAGTTTTATTTTTTTAAGTAACTTGTTTGAATATTTTCCAATATGTAGTATAATTTTTATTTGGTTAATGTAGGAA